TTATGAATAAATTTTTAATCAAAAAAAAACTTTCATTTACAACTTGATTGTTCGGGAATCTAGATGTAATATTTACCGAAATCCGTCTATGAAAGGTCTATGAAAGAGAAACATGAAAAGCAAAAAACTAGAAATATTACAGTTGTTTGTTAAAGACATGTGAAGGCTGACCAGATGCATTACAAATAATTATAAGATGTTGTTTATATGCACGTAAGTAAAAGATTTCTTCGATACTTAGCAGTTAAAAATATAATAATACAGTAGAAAATAATCGTTACACTATCACGTCGTGTTGTATGTGATGCGTAAAGAATAAGCAATCGATTAAATGCGTAGAATAAACGTTAATTGATATATATATATGGTATTAACTGAAAGGACAAATAAATGTTGATCTTTAGATCAACAAATACCATATTATCACGAAAATGCTATTGTTCTTGAGGAAATATTAAGTCGAATATTTAAATACTCAATTTAGCAAATGAAATGTATCCTTATAACACAATTATGGTATAATTATGGTATGATACATAATAACTTAAACTAATGCGTTTTCGTCATTATGAATACCAATAATTTGGTAAACGGTATCCACTAAATGAGGATTTGATGCTCAATATATGGTTTATTTCATTAAATATTGCAAGATTGTTACGTTAAAGAAACACTTAGGGATAGTTAATAATTAAACTATAATAGAACAAGAATAATAATAATAATAAGATTGCATCTTTGTAAATTCACATTGTTCATGAAGGTAATAAATATTGCTTAGGTTGCACAGATGAACTAATAATAGACAATATACCGATATTTGCTTTACCATTTCGACTAATTTATCCAAATACATACTTAGTTATAATTCCATTTTCGTTGGTTGAAACCATAGAACAATAATATCCTTCCATTTTAAATAATAGGTAATTTTGATGATAAGGTTTACGATAATACATATACTGTTAATCTAGCGAGTACGTATTTAGTTAGTATAGATATTGTTTTATGTTACACGAACTAGCTAAATATTCAATTAGTATTTGCTCCAAAACTAAAACAAATAATAATAAGTAATGCATTGATCATTGATTATTCACTACGTATTCACATTGTCCTTTGAGATTGGTGATTGTTTACTTATGGTCCAATTTCTGATTCACGATTAAAATACTTATAAATAGCCTTTTTTCTGTTACTTATATCTTACAATTTTGAAACAATCTTTATTTTAATTTTTTTTTTTTTTTTTTAATTCATAACGCGAGAAATATTTAAAATTATATACTAATATAAAACAAATAAAATAATGACTCAAACAGAAATAAATGAATCTGTAACTTTACCAAACGAAAATCCCCAAAATATCACTTCCCTCTCACCGCAAAACACAACCACACATGATTCAGAAGATACAAGGTCGATCAGATCAACATCAAGTCAACCACCAACCTATTCCACAGAAGAAGAGATAATATCACCACCAACAATTCCGTTTTCTGCACACGTATCTTCAAATTCAACGAGCCCTATCCCTATTCCATCATTAAATAATTCACAAACCT